TTAAATGGAAATATATTATTTTTAATAAGCTGAGACTGACAGTTTTATTTATTTGATAGTTTATTTCACAGTTCTTGTTTGTAAAGGCTAAATACAAATAAAAAGTGAACCTTATTTTTTTTTGTACTGTTTTTATTTAAAAAAAAAATAATATAATTTTAATAGGAGGAGCCTGGAGGTATTATAGACTTTGCAAATTCAGTTTGCAGACATCCATTGTGTGTGTCCTCGGCAGTTTTTTCCTTTACAGGCTTTTTAATATTGTCCATATCGATATCAGAATTATATCGTATCGACCAAAATTAAGAAATATATCGTGATATAAATTTGCCATATCGTCCAGTCCTACATCTAAGTGTACATATTGCTTTGCGCAGCACTGAAAATGAATAATTAAATGAATAATCTAAACTGCTACAGTGAATAAAAACAACAAACATCAACAAACGGTTAAATTCTTTTAAAATGTGCACAAACTAGGGCAACTACACAAAAGCTAAAGGGCAAGTTAGGTTTGGGGGGCAGTATGTGGCTCTGTGGCTTAAAACCTTGGTGCCTGTAATCAGAAGGTCACCAATTCAAGCCCCACCTCAGCAAAATAGTCACATGTCCATTGAGCCCTTGAGCAAAACAGCATGCTGGCCAAGCCAAACATGTAACTAATGGCAATTTGGACAAGCCTAGTGTCCCATCCATATGTCATTTTAATTTCATTATATACCCACCCACACTCGGCAAAGTTAAGAACATCCCCCCTTGGTGCAAGAATACAGGGGGAACAGTATGGACCAGCAGTAGAATGCCCACCATATGCGTTTCTACTTTTCTAGGGTATGATTCTCAACTTGGTGTATACCGGGAGAAGTCCTGGGTATTCTCTAAAATACTCCCCTTTGAAATAATTTCACCCTCGTTCAACCTAACACGCTGATGGCCATTTATTATCTCCGACCCTCAACCTGTAAGGCTTCCGATACTCTACACCAATACCTTCCTTTTACACACCCCAATGTTTCCCCTACCATTATATTAGGGGGGTGCCCCGCCTCCCCTTGAAGGTCAAGTTAATTTTATTTTCTATAAAGCGCCAGATCACAACAGAAGTCATTTAAGGTTACCCTTCCTATAGAACAGGTCTATACATTGTCCTTTTATTAAACAAACTAAATAGCCTTATGTTAACTTATTTACACAACAGCTTGTCATTTTTGTCTCTACACGGTTGCGCGTTTACAATTCTCCTCTGCTCTGTGTATTGCGCGTGGCAGTTCCACCCCGATGCGCGCGCACAGACACAGGTGAGCACACTCCCACCACTGGACAGAGAGCGTGCGTCGGAAAATATGTCACGTCAACCATGGGTCATATCACCTGGTCAGCAGTGTAAACTGTGAGAGGGACTCCTCAACCATGAATAGGGCAATAAATATGTTTCACAACGGGATTTTCTGCTTTAAGCTATCAGCTATCAGTTTTAAAGCCTAACAGTTAATGTATTTGCAGGTCAAGACAAACATCCACAATAGGTTGCAAGGAGACCATCTTGCAGCCTTGCATGCGGATCTCAATAAATGGGCCAGACGTTTCTGACTTCCCATATCAAGAGGCTCTAGAAATGTTCTTCCAGAAGCCCAGAAACATACACTGCAGTGACAAAAGCTCCACACTTTGTGGATAATTGTCATAAAAAGAAATGTTTTGATGTTTAGTTCAGATGTTACCCCCCAAAGCTGTAAACCTAGGGGAAACACTGCACCCCTTACAATTATGAGTTAATGCAACCCCGGAAAAATTAGGAACATATGATAGAAACAGAAAAAAATTTAAAATGCTGTCTTAATTCCCTTTCACGCCTCCCCAGTTCATTACATTACACTTTAAGCAGGAAACAAAAACAAACACATTTGACCAATTTGTACATTGACTACAATGTTTTCTCTTATGCATAAAAAAGACACAATCAATTGAATACACATACTGTAAAAGGAGAGTACTCGGGTATGTGCCAAGAGAATCACACACTTTATGCCGGCTAGTTGGTGCACATTGGAGCTCATACTAGACAGGAGCACTCACACATCCAAGGAGGTGCAAAAATTCAAGTCGTGAGATTGTTGGTCCACAGCTCCGGGCAGTGTTTCGGTCCAAGCTGGCCAAGGTCCCACTAGCTTCAGCTCATGGTGCAGTTTAAATTCGCTGGGATTAACTCTGCTCCTCGTGACTGTCCGGCGATCGAAGAAAACCCCTTTGGCTCGGGTTACCTATGGCTCCAGTCTGAACCCTAAATCAGGCCAGTTCGCTGTGCTACCCAGCTCTCCTCTGCTTCTTCCTCAGAGAAGGATCCCGTACGGACTCTCTGCACCGATCCGCCAGCAGCCAACAACCCTGTGCTCTCTCCTGCTCTCTTTTCTTGCATTTTTCCCTCCACACACAAGGTCAACCTGTCTTTTTCCCGGGCCTTTCTTATAGATGCAACTGGCCAAAAAAAAAAAAGCCTCGTAACAGTGTCCATCAAGGCAATGCCATTCGTATCATATCAACATATCAACTCTGTTGAACAAGAATGGCACACTAATAAGGTCGGTGCATAAAATTCAGCATGAAAAGAAAGCATCTCAAGCAATCATGTTTTGCTAAGATTTCACCCATAAAAAAAAAAACAGGCGAGTGCATAATATGAACATGTCAGCCCACAATATTAACCCCTACAAAATCCCACACTTTTCCCTCTAATATTACTACTCATTTCCATAGGGCGCTACACCCTCCCCCCACCAGGAATAGGCATGTCCCCACGACTAAAACTTTCAACCCCTCCTTACTACCTACTAGCTCTTAAGGCACCCTATCCTGTTGACCAACGTCAATGTATATCTAACTGTAGTCGCAGTCCGTTTTAACAGGGACACCTGGCCTATAAGTCAGTATAGTGGAAGGCCTATTACGTTGTGGCCGTTCCCTGTCTGTTTGCTCCTCAGATTCACATCCAGAGGATGCTAGGGCCTCTATCTCTACGTCTTGTGTACAATCCCCACAGGACTCAGCTTCACATTGTAGGGGATCACTAGAGGACTGAGCAGGGGGCTCCTCCACAGGTACAACCATCTGGGGTCCGTCAGAATCAACCTGGTCACAACACGCTTCTGACATTACAGATCTCATCACACCCCTCTCAAGATTTGGAAACTCAAACCGCTTTTTGAAGTCACAGTCTTCATAATTAGAGTCTTCCTCCGAATCGCCGGCAAATGTAACAGCTAATTGCCAATTTAACAATGCTAGAGGACACATGTGGCCCAGACTAACAGTTTACCACCAACTAGCACGCTGGCAAGCTAAATAATCAAGCGTGTCGCCACCATTGCTGCTATTCGAGGCAATTAAACTACTCTCAAGACTGTAAAACAAACATCTAACCGCATACTTCAGTCTCTCAATTAATCTCTCAGTGTTTGCTAACAAACACCAACAGTTTTATGGGATTTTAGCACATTACTGACCTGTAATACAGGAAAGAAATGATGAGGCAGGGAGACGCAGCTTTCCTTTGCTGAGTTCTCCGCCATTACTTATTAGTATACAACTCATTCATGTAACTTGTCCACTTAATACTGCATATTTTGTCCAATGTCCATCTTCAGTATTAGTACTGTACATTTACTGTGTCTCAATACACATCATGTTTGTGAAACACACGCATTACGCAATAAATATTAAACCCGTAACTAACTCAAAGTGTCTCTGCATCCAATTTCCACATTTATTTACTCAACTTCCTAAACACATCTTAGTCGTAAATTCATCCTCCATGCACTAACACTAAGGTACTGTCAAGTATCGCTCAGACATAAATAAATAGTATCAGTAAACAAATCCAGAAAAAACATTAAACCATTTATAAATCACACTTTACATATCTCATCTCGAACATGACCATTCATTTAAATTAAGTCAGAGTGCTAATTTAACAATGCTAGAGGAGACACGTGGCCCAGACTAACAGTTTACCACCAACTAGGGCGCTGACAAGCGAAATAATCAAGCGTGTAGCCGCCATTGCTGCTATTCGACGCAAAACTACTCTCAAGACTGTAAAACAAAAATATCTAACCGCATACTTCAGTCTCTCAATTAATCTCTCAGTGTTTGCTAACAAACACCAAGAGTTTTATGGGGGTTTAGAACATTACTTACTTGTAATACAGGAAAGAAAGACAGGGAGACGTAGCTCTCCTTTGCCGAATTCTCCGTCGTTATGAGGGAAACGGCGAGGCGCGCGCTACAGACTACCGTTACTGAAGTAAACCACAGTCTCACACTGCCACCTACTGTCGAAAAAAGTATTGTCTTTGCCCAAAACACTAAATTATTCACAGTAAGGGAAAATGGGTCTTTACAAAAAGAAAAATACAGTCAAACCTCGGATTGCGAGTAACTTGGTTTGCGAGTGTTTTGCAAGACTAGCAAAAAAATTTAAATAAATTTTAACCTGATGAATGAGCGAGGTCTTGCAATAGGAGTGTTATGTATATGTTTTGTCTGCCGAGCGTCACGTGATCACAACTGATTCTTTTCAAAGGTAAAGTGCAGGTTAATTTGTTTTATGTATTTTTTCTTTACATTTTTATATTAATATTTTTGGGATTTGGAACGAATCATCCGAGGTTCCATTATTTCTAATGGGAAAATTCGCTTTGATATTAGAAAGAACATAAGAACTATACAAACGAGAGGAGGCCATTCGGCCCATCGAGCTCGCTTGGGGAGAACTTAACTAATAGCTCAGAGTTGTTAAAATCTTATCTAGTTCTGATTTAAAGGAACCCAAGGATTCAGCTTGCACTACGTTATCAGGAAGACTATTCCATACTCTGACTACACGCTGTGTAAAGAAGTGCTTCCTTAAATCCAGTTTGAAATGTTCTCCCGCTAATTTCCATCTATATTTGAACTAATATACTAGTGCTTTGGATTACGAGCACGTTTCTGGAATGAATTATGCTGACAATCAGAGGTTTTACTGTACAGGTATTTCCCGTACTACACTTACACACATATTCACAAAAATGTGATCACACATTAGTGGGCATCACATAAGTGAACTACTTGGTTACTATCAGATCAGGTCAGGTTGGGGAGCCCGTCTGCCTGGGGCCAGCAGAAGAAGTAAAAGTCCCAATTCACACAGTCAAAAATGTAACATTTGAGTTTTACTTTAATATTTTAATATGAAAAATATATACCATATATATTTATACTTTATATATTATTAATATTTTAAATTAGTAAATACAAATGAAAAGATGCCAAAAATAAATTAAATAAGCTACTAGAAATATACATAACGTACTGATCCAGCTGGATTGTTTTAAGCGTTTTTGAGGCATTTGCAGTTCAAGTGGAATATCTTCCAAGCAAGGATACGCAAGTGGCGAATGAATAAAATGCCACACAATTTTTCTCCCCCTGGCAACAGCGTCACTTCAATCACAGCCCCTCGTGTATCACAAGCTGTAGTGAGTGCGCAAATAATGCTGCATTCAAGATTCAAGATTCAAGATCTTTATTTGTCACATGTGTAGTCATACAAGTACAACAACACAGTGAAATGTACCCTGAGCCGCTCCTTGACTGTGCAAACATTAACAAAAGTAAAAATAAGTAAAAATAAGTAAAGAAATGAGTGCAATAGAATAAGTATAAGTATAACTGTATAAATGTAAGGGCAGTGCATAGTTTTCAAGTGCATTGTGCTATAATAGCACCGCAATATAAAAACAGTGTGCATATAAAGTCCTGTTTCAATTAAGTAATGCTATGAGGGGAGTGGGGGCATAGAGCTATTAACCCTTTAGTGCATTTCCCCTATGCCATGTAATATGCATACAATATATTAATTAATAACTGTTAGGGTGAAAGTTATTCTGAAAATCCAAGGGGTGTGCATTGTCCCCCAGAGTCCACTGACCCATGCACACTTCATGGGACATGGCTGTCCCATTTCGTTCCAAAGCTATTAACCCTTTATTGCATTGCCCCTATGCCATGTAATATGCATGCAATGTATTAATTAATAGGTGTTAGAGAGAATGTTATTCTGAAAATCTAAGGGGTGTGCATTGTCCCCCAGCGTCCTCTGATCAAGGCACACTTCATGGGACATGGCTGTTCCAGAGCTATTAACCCTTTATTGCATTGCCCCTATGCCATGTAATTTGCATACAATGTATTAATTAATAACTGTTAGAGTGAAAGTTATTCTGAAAATTCAAGGGGTGTGCATTGTCCCCCAGAGTCCACTGACCCATGCACACTTCATGGGACATGGCTGTCCCATTTCATTCCAAAGCTATTAACCCTTTATTGCATTGCCCCTATGCCATGTAATATGCATGCAATGTATTAATTAATAGCTGTTAGAGAGAATGTTATTCTGAAAATTCAAGGGGTGTGCATTGTCCCCCAGAGTCCACTGACCCATGCACACTTCATGGGACATGGCTGTCCCATTTCATTCCAAAGCTATTAACCCTTTATTGCATTGCCCCTATGCCATGTAATATGC